AACCAACCTAGTGCCATTCAAGGAACAGAAGTACCCTTAAGAGAGCATTCATGGTAGTTCAGGAAGGCCATAGACTCAAGCTACTAATCTCAATTTCCCTTTCATGCCACTTGCACCTCTTTCTTTCTATACCTCCCCTACCTGTTACCCCACATAAGGAAATACTCATTAGTGGGTGCATGACTCTTCTTCCCTTCCCAAGGCTATTGTTCTGGAGATTTCTCCAGTGAATAATAGCTCCTTTGCCTCATTACTGAGGGCATCTAAGTTTGCATTATAGAGCTCCCAATAAAGACTTCCATGTACTAAGGGGTACTTCCATGTACTAAGAGCATCAGTTAAGAGAGCATGCATACCAAAGAAATCATGTATACTTGGAGAATTGGAGAAAACTGAAGAAGCAAGGTATTCATTAAAATAAATTAAAATTATTTGAGAATCTGTCCTTTTATTCTATAGATCATTAATTTACTGGGCATTTTCCTTTTCAATTAGTTTCTATTCCTTTTCTCACATCATGTTTTAGCAGTAAACATGTAACAGTATTTTCCTTTTCAACTAGTTTCCATTTCTTTTCTCATATCATGTTACAGTAGTAAACATGAAACATAAATATGGGTATGGCTTATAGATTTTGAGACAAGACACATGTGCTTCTGGGCTCCCTTCAGGGAAGTGCCTCCAGAGAAAAAGATATTGGGAAGAAGCCAATATGTAGAGAAATTGATACTTCTAGCATGTCCCTGTTTACAGCTCCAAGTGAGAGCTTTGTACTGTCTGATATAATCTAATTTGTATAACTTCTCTGATTTCTTTCTGCTATTGGCTTGAACAAATGTGTTTGTTTGCTATTCACTATGTGTAATGAATGATATTTGTGTAACAGACATTTGATGAGAAGACAATCAAGCTTTTGGATATACAACTTGGGGTACTCCTTTCTTGACCAGGAGTACAACTTGAACATAAAATTTATTTCCCCTAGATTAACAATACTTAGAGCAGAGTGAGAGATACAATTCTAATCTGATAACCCTTCTCTGAAAATGGCAGAGTGGTCAGCTTTGTGGTCTCAATATCCTACTCTGTTCTTGTAAGGAATCAAAATCTCCCTTGGCTGAAAGGTGGGAAAGAGGAGAATTCATGTCTTCCTATGGCCATATCTAGACAAACTTATGTAGACACACAAAAAATTACATGAGTAAAACACACACATACTTTACATGCAAATTGAGGAGGTTTTGCTCAATGGTCTCTGAAATCCCTTCAAGCTTTAAGTCTGTAATCATATGATCCCTCCGATTTTTGTTTTTTAATTTTTTATATAGTCCATAATCCTAGATGTATACAGTTGTGAGGTCTACTGACCTCTTATATGTATAAGAACATTGTTGCCTTTCTTCTTTCTTATACCAAAAACACTCAACTAAATTATCCATACATGGCTTGCCAACATGGTAAGCCAAAACTATCATACTCAACCACCACATTCTTCCAAACTCTCAAGAAGATTTATCCAAGAAGGGACCTGGCCTTCCATTGTCCAATCTGTTCTTGGGCAATTTCTAAGGCTACTCAGGTAGGTCCCATGACCATTACCTCCTCATACTTCTTACATCTAGAATCGTTCCTTTTTAGTATTCCCAAACTATTATTTTAACTTGTTTGCAAATTGTTTTGGGAAAAACCAATACCTATTTCATTTTTTTCTGTTCCATGCTTTTCATAAGACAAGGGAAAGAACAAGTAACTTTATCATAAATATAATTATTTCCTTCTCTCTAAAATTGTACTGAAAATTTTTGCCAAACATCGATTTTAATCAGGGAGTGAACTCTTTGTAAAACATCAGGAGTCCACTTCTCTCCCAGTTCACCATATCCTTACTTTTCAAGTCATCTTAATTCTAAATTATTATCAATATCATCTCAGGAAACATCTTGGGCATATTCCTTGCTTTTGCCCAATTTCACTTTGTCTCAGTAAATCTGAAGAAAATCTTAATCATTATTTCCACTTGTGCAGTGTGTGTGTGTGTGTGTGTGTGTGTGTGT